TCAGAGGCATCTTCTCCCTCATTGGCTTCGACAAGAGCTTTATATACCAAGGTCGTTTCGGACAAGCATGAAGATCCTGTGGCCAGATTCGGTGCTTCCATCGGCCAAGGTCTCATCGATGCAGGTGGACGCAACGTTACGATTAGCCTCCTTAGTCGTGCGGGAAGCAGGAACACCAATGCCATCGTCGGTATGGTCATGTTCTGCCAGTTCTGGTACTGGTATCCTCTAGCACATTGTGCGTGCTTGGCATTTGAGCCCACTGGTATCATTGGTCTCGACGCCGATCTTAAGGTGAACTCCATACCTAATATTATTTGCCCTCTGTTCATGCAGATCTCTAGGTGCCGAAATTCGAGTTCACGTCCAATGCCCGCCCCAGTCTATTTGCGTATCCGGCATCCACGAAGCCGCCAAAGAAGGAAGCTGTCGCAAAGGTCGCTACCGCCGTCCTGTCTACTACAGCCAAAGTCAAGGCCCGAGAAAAGAGGAAGGCGGCTGAAGAAGGCATGGACTTGGTGAGTATTTCTCTATGCTGCGGTATTTTGATGCCAAACGGTCTTCGTAGGACGAAGTCAAGAAGGAGGGCGATGGTGACGCGGAAATGAAGGAGGAGACGCCTGCTGTCAGCGGTGATATTTCACCGATAACAGGCTCGATCTCCAACCTGGCCGAAGAACCTAAGGTGCCGTCTGCGCCTGCGAAAGCAACACGCAAGTCGGAACCATCCTCTGAGATGCTACCAAATTTCTCGCGAGTAACACCGGCCCAGCTTGCTTACATCTCATTCCCCGCTGAGGGCCGGTATCAGCCTGTGCGGCCTGTTTCTAATCGACCTGTTGCTAAGGCACCTAAGAGTGGTAAAGTAGCCAACCTTACGCCACAGAGCTCTGCTGGTGGTGGGGGCATTCTGATGTTGGTTGATCTCCGTCCGGATGAAGAGGGCGAATTCTTGGACTTGTCGCCGCCGCCGCCTGTCGCTGATGCAGCGACCAACGGTGCAGCGGTGGTCGGTCCGCCCGCGGCTGCTACTGGACCTTCAGGTCCTCATATCGCACTTGATGAGAGTGCACCAGAAGCAGACACGCCAGAACCGTTTGAGGTATATTTACGAACTTGGTGATTATCGATGGATGACTAACTGTCTTTTCTTCCAGTATCCTTTCGGTAACGATGCATGATGCGGCCGAGGAAACGCTGGTGGACCTTACTTTATTTATGAGTATGATCCTCGCAAAATGATAGTATTTCTAAGCTCTGATTCCTTCGTGATAAGTATGAATTTAAAGAGGTGCCTATGTCAGGTGAACAACTTGGCTTCGAACGTCCACGACGATATGGCTACTCTGCAAGGACACGGTTCGCTTCGTGTCATAGTCTTGGACGACTATCAGAATGTCGCTCTTGGCAATGCTGATTGGAGTCTTCTATATGATAAAGCATCAATCGAGGTTTTCAACGAAGCTATCGACCCAGAAAATGTCGCGAGTCGTCTGCAGAAATACGACATTATCTGTGCTATGCGAGAACGAACGAAGTTTCCCGCTGATATACTGGAGAAATTGCCTAATCTGAAGTACGTATCTTGGTATCCATTCGACGCGTACTTTTATCTACTGATCGTCAGACTCCTCATAACCACTGGCATGAACAATCGCGGCATCGATGTCGCTTTTGCAAAAGAACGCGGTATAATCGTCTCGGGAACGTCGTCGCAGGGAAACTCGACCATGGAACATATCTGGGCGATAATCCTGGCAACAGTACGGTATATCGCGTTGGAGGATAAGAACATCAAGGAGAACAATCCCCAATGGCAGACGGTTGTGCCGTTTGGGTTGACCGGGAAGACACTGGGCCTCCTTGGGGTTGGCGGACTGGGTTCGCGTACTGCGCAGGTGGGGTTCTCCTACTCAATTCTCAAGTTGAATGCTCAGGCGTGAATGCGATTGATAGATAGCAAAGGTGTTCGGTATGAGGGTTTTAGGTTGGTCGCCGCATTTGACTCCCGAGAGGGCGCGCAAGCTGGCGTCGAGTTTGCTTCATCGAAAGAGGAGCTCATGAAGCAAAGCGATGTACTCTCTGTGCATATGGTGTCTGCGCCTAGTACGCGCGGGATCATTGGGCAGGCGGAGCTCGCGTTGATGAAGAAGACGGCGTTTCTCATCAATACGTCGCGTGGGCCGTTGGTGGACGAAGGGCTTGATTGATGCGTTGCGAGAGGAGAAGATTGCAGGTGCTGGGTTGGATGTTTACGATATTGAGCCGTTGCCTCTGCAGCACCCGCTGAGGGCGCTGAAGAATGTGACGCTTAGTCCGCATAATGGGTATGCGAATGATACCAGTTATCAGGTGAGTGTTTGGCCCACGTTTGATAGCAATGCTAAGACTTGATGGTTAGGGATTCTTCAAGGACACCGTTGATGACATTCTTGCTTATTTGGACGGTAATCCAGTAAGAGTGCTAGGCTGAAGTTCTCGAAATCCTGTAATACAACTTTGAGGCTTGATTGACATCTTGTGTACGATTGCAAGGTTACGGTACACCGCCATACGCGTGCACGTGCCGCCAGTTGCCATTTGAATGAGTGACTCAGTGGCTGAATGCGTATGACTCTTTCTCTGGGTATAAAGCGCCTTCGAATTTGTCAGTCCGGGTACAAAGTAGCCCTCAACAAAGACCAAAGCGAAAGAGACTGTTGTTTGTTTAGTAGAGTAACGCGTGACCGTGACATTGCCGCTAGAAAGATCGCGGCGTCTCTTGCTTTTTCCCATAACAAGCTCGTAGCCACTTGACTCTTTCATCGAATACGATGGATAACAACGAATCCCGCACCATGAAGGCTCGCCGAGAGGGTAAGTGACCCGTTTCTGCAGTCTTGTTGCTCTTTTTCGTTGTGTGTTTGAGGCGAGGCTAACGCGACTTTAACAGCATACAAGGCAAAAGGCGCATTGAAGCAGGACGACTTGCGCCGACGCCGAGAAGAGCAGCAGGTTGAGATCCGTCGCCAGAAGCGAGAGGAAAACATCTCCAAGCGTCGCAACTTCATCCCCTCCAGTGGACCCGATTCGGATGAGGAGGTGACGATTGGGACATGGGATCCAGAGGTGCGTCCAAGTCTTGCCTGTTGACCGCCGTACTCATGGATGTGCACGATTAGAGCGCCGATGGACTAATGGAGGCCGTCTTCTCCAACGACCAAGAGCGGCAGCTCGACGCGACGACCAAGTTCCGCAAGCTGCTCAGCAAGGAGAAAAACCCGCCTATCGAACGCGTTATTGAGTGTGGCGTCGTGCCACGCTTTGTCGAGTTTTTGCGCACGGGCACTTCAATGCTCCAGGTGTGTGACTTTTTTCGGTTTGCCGCGAGTTCACCCCCTGATCGTTTATCTCTCCCATCACCTTTCTTATCCCGCACTTAGTTCGAGGCTGCATGGGCCTTGACCAACATTGCGTCGGGGACGGCCGAGCACACCCAGGTTGTCATCGGTGCTGAAGCCGTACCAGAATTCATCAACTTGCTTTCATCGCCTGTGCACGACGTGCGGGAGCAGGCCGTCTGGGCGCTTGGAAACATCGCCGGAGACAGCCCGCAATGCAGAGATTACGTCCTCAAGGCCGGTGCGCTGCGCCCCCTGCTCGGTTTGTTAAGCGAGCAGCACAAGCTCAGCATGCTCCGCAATGCAACCTGGACCCTCAGCAACTTCTGCCGTGGAAAATCACCGCAACCGGACTGGGAGCTCGTAGGTTTTTTTTCCTAGTCGATATGAATAATTCTTATAATTTGATCAGATTTCCCCTGCGCTTACCATCCTGACAAAATTGATTTACTCCCTCGACGACGAGATACTGATTGACGCGTGCTGGGCCATCTCTTACCTCTCCGACGGGTCCAACGACAAGATCCAAGCCGTGATCGAGTCGGGTGTGTGCCGACGCCTCGTGGATCTGCTCATGCACAGCTCGACATCCGTGCAGACCCCTGCCCTCCGCTCAGTCGGTAACATCGTCACTGGGGACGACCTCCAAACCCAAGTGGTCATCGCTTCTGGCGCGCTCCCTGCTCTTCTCTCGCTGCTTTCCTCCCCCAAGGATGGCATCCGCAAAGAGGCTTGCTGGACTATCTCCAACATCACAGCAGGCTCGCCCCCGCAGATCCAGGCCGTGATTGACGCGAACATTATCCCGCCCCTCATCAACATCTTGCAGCACGCAGACTTCAAGACGCGAAAGGAAGCCTGTTGGGCGATCTCGAACGCGACATCTGGCGGTTTGCAGGAGCCTACGCAGATCCGTTATCTCGTGTCGCAAGGATGCATCAAGCCGTTGTGCGACCTCCTCGCGATGATGGACAACAAGATCATCCAGGTCGCGCTCGACGGTCTTGATAACATATTGAAGATCGGCGAGATGGACAAGACCAATAGCGGTCTCGGAGCGGTGAACCAGTATGCGGTGTACGTTGAGGAAGCTGGCGGCATGATTGCCATCCACAATCTCCAGCAGCATGATAACCTGGATATCTATAAGAAGGCCTTCAATATGATGGACAAATATTTCCCAGATGAGGAAGAAGAAGGTGGCATTGCGCAGCCGAGTGTAGATCAGGCTGGAAACTTTGCGGTGAGGCGTCTTTCTTCTATTACTGTACAGCTACTCATTCGCGATCGAACAGTTCCAAGACGTCTCTGCGCCACAAGGTGGATTCAGCTTCGGAAACTAGATCATCTCTCCGTGTCTGTGTTCTACTTACATCCCTCTATCATCCAACTTTCTCTGTCTGTTATTTTGACTTGTGTTTAAGTAGCTATCCCACCCATATACAATGATTCCTGATGATATAAAATACGTAAGTAAGTAAGTACTTATGATTCCAATGCCAATGTATTATGAACCGCCACATGTGAGTGCGGGCGTTGAAGTGGTCTCGTGGAAGCTTGGAAGGCATGATTTTGAGGAGACCATGACCGTGATATATAAAACTGGGGTCTCTCACTGTATCTCTGATAGTATATCGGTTAGTACACGCGCCTGTCATGTCTGTTCAAGGTTAAAGCTGCGCGCGAAAGCTGGGTTCGACTCCCAGTCAGAGAGATACGCTAAGCTCATCCAGGTAATCGGTTTTAATCTTGGATTACAGAAGGCCAATATGAGGTGAGTTTTCCTCACTTCAGCCTTCTCTTTTTTACTCACGAAGCGATGTCTAGGGTCGTGGAAATAACCTCCGGGGTGGTAAATAACCGTTATTTACCTACCCGCCCAGCAGAAGAGGTTATTTACTGGTTAGAAACGGTAATTTACTGGCACGTGATATATTCACGTGACCTTTTGCGGGGATCTCTTTGCCTGCTGTTATCTGTGTGTTCTCTCTAGGGTGGCGCAAGAAACCGTCAGTTTTTTACAAAATCCATTTTTTACTGTAAATTACGTGTCACATGACTGTAATTTACTTGTAAATTACCGACCCCGTTTGGGAGGTCGTAAGTTACCAAATTGGGTCACGTGCGGATCCCGACCCGGAAGGGCGAGGTGGAGCGGGAGCCCGAGGTAAGTTACCTGTAAGAAAAGCGGCCGACCATTTCTTGCGCCACCCTAGTTCTCCCTCCTTTGGCCTCATGCCCACTTTCTTGGTGTCAACACAGTTAAATATTGATTATGTAGTTCTCTCTCCTTCCCTCCCATGTAATTCTAAGCCAATTGAACCCTGTATTTTGTTGAGCCTGATTTGAGCTGCCAGAGTCAACCTAGAGTGCTCTTGTGCTGAATTTTGGTTGAACTCAGCTCCCCAATTGTTAGCATTTTTCATTTTCTTAACAAGTTGTTGTGGTGGCATTTCTCCTAGTGCCAATGGTGGCAAGCTTCCCGAATTTGTGCACCACAGTCTACAGATCACGTGAAAATGTCACGTGGAGGTAAATAACCTAGCTCCCAGGCTCTGAGGTTACGAACCGGTAAATAACCGGTAATTTACCGGGAAACAACCTCTCGGTATGCTAACCTAGGTTGTTTCCACTACCCTAGCGATGTCTCTACCTAGTCCTCTAGGTCGCAAAGAGACGTCCGTGGTTTGTTACCCGTCGGGTTGCGAAAACAAACCGAGTGAGTTCGCCTTCGGCAGACATTGTGCACTCACTTTCATCTAGATTGCCATCGGCGCCCTCGGCGTTCATTCGTTAGCCATCGGCACCGCCCTCGGCGTTACTCTTCACCTCCATTCCTGAATCTCACATTATTTGTTCTTAGTTTCCGTATCGTTGACTTTTCTGTGATCGGGACATACACGGTTCACTGTCTCACGCCTGGCGGGACGCATAGCCTTGCGGGTCATGTCTCGCATACCCCAGCTCTTACCGCGTCGCCGCCAGGTGCATCTTATTTTACTTTACTTATATGCAAAGTTCTTACCGGTCGCGACAGTAGTATTTTCTGTTGATAAACGAATTGTCATTCCCATCTATCGAATCAACAGAGTGATGCACCCAAATGCCGAAGATCAAAACCACGGCGACTGTTCCGTCCCTCGCCTCCCTGACCCATCGCTACCCGAAGAAGATTACTTCGAAGTTGTCGAGCATGCGCTCGAAGAAATCTACAGCCGATACGAACGAGGAACAGCCTCCGACGTTGAAGTGCAAACCACGATCGTGGCCTTTATTGCCGAAGTCTCCACCGCCAACATCTACGAGTTCGATGGACAAGGCGAACTTACACCTTGGTTCCAGCGACTCGCGAGCGATGTCCGACGTCGGCAGAGCGCCGAACAAAGAGGCCGCGAAGCTACCGTTAGCGATGATCAGTCGGGAGAAGGAATTTGGGACAGAGACATCAGAAGTGGAGACGGCAGAGATGACAGGCAGAGGAAGCACCATCGAGAAGATCCCACCCCTTCAGACAGTTCAGGGTCAAATTCCAGCGATGAGCGCCCAAAGCGCAAGCGCCACCATGGAAGAAGACACCGACGGTCTCGCTCTAGCGAGTCCAAATCGAGCGACGAACAAAACAAATCGTTGTTCGGATGGGGCCCTGCCGCCCGCGTCAAAGAAGTCCTCCTCTCCCCGAGCACAAACTCGTGCGAGAATATGTCGAAAACCATGCTCTTGACATCAAAGGAGCCCTACACGACTAGAGTTTACAAGTCCGGTTGGGTCCGGTTGCGGCGCCCAAATTTGGAAGGACCGGCAACCGCAACCGGTTGCCCAAACCGACTTTTGACATCAACCGCAACCGCAACCGGTCCTTGTTAAGGACCGGTTGAAACTGCGGTCCTTCAGCGGTCTGCAACCGGTTGGGACCACTAGTGGTCGCAACCAGTTGCAACCGGTTCGAACTGAGACGGACTGCCCCCTTCCGCATCCCTCACCGCACTCGCTGTCTTTTCATGTCCCGTCCGCATCCCGCAGCAATTGCGACGGGAGCATAGGCGGTGCATGATGGTATTGACATGAGGTGGGTGTGGGAGGAAGGGAACTTGGAGGTGGGGGATGGTGATAGATTGTGAGAATGGTGCCTCAAGCGAGGGCTTACCCGTAAATAGGAAGAGGTAATCTATATTAAAGAGTTAGTATAACGAAAGAGTTGACGGCGCCCACAGGCGCCGCCAACATCGAAAAGAAGAGAAAGAAAAACGTACAAGTCTGCTACGTCGCCGGCAGACAACGAGGCAGCCCGTATCCACCACCCCCGTTCTTCAAGCGCGCTACGGAGCACGGCGGGTAAGCGTCCCGACTATCCTGTCATCGCTTGCTGCCCATTTGCAAGGGGCTTACGTGTCGTCGTCTGGTTGTTTCCGTGGAGACGACTCTTAAGTCGTCTCCTCGTCCATTAACGCCGACTTAAAGTCGAGTGTCAGTGCCGTAATCGCCGACTTATAGTCGGGCGATGCTGCCGTCGTCGCCGACTTGCAGTCGAGCGACGGCGGTTGATGGAAGTGTTGGTGGGAAGCAGAGAGAGCTACCCGATCGCACGCTTACGCGTACGTTCGGATCTCGGCCCGAATCGCCGGATCTGGGGAAATAGTCGCGAGTGGCTCTTGTGGCCCACACATGGGCTCGTTTGAGCTCAAAAAAATTTGGAAATTCATATTAAATATATACTTAATTTATCCGGTTGCAACCGGTCTCAACCGGTCTGTACCGGTCCTGGAAAAATTAGCCAAACGTTCGAACCGGCAACCGCAACCGGTTGAAACCGGCAACCGGTTGCCTGCTAACCGGTCCAAAATCGGTTGCAGTCCGGTTGGGTCCGCCGGTCCTACCCGGTCCTAGCAACCGGACTTGTAAACTCTATACACGACCTCTTGCGCTCCGGGCATGCTCCCGTCTTCCCAAAAGCTCTCTGGAAGAAGGTCCTCCTCGACGAAGTTGTCGACTTCGACGAGATCAATGCCTTCGTTTTCTCCACCAAACTTGAACTCGACCCCGCTCCTCTCGGAGCAGCTGCGTCGACGCTACAGCAAGCCTTGGGACGCCGCGCGGATAAAAAGATGGTTAGCTCTTCAGTTGTCTGGTTCCGCTGCTTTGATAAGTACAGCGCGGCAGTCGAGACAGTCTTCCCCTTCCGTCGAGATGAACTCCGCAGCTGGAGGGAGCACATTGACGACCTCTTCACCGTCAAGAGCGAGAACTCCCACCTCCGGATCATCGCGTACGACGTCGCAGCCCGTAAAATCATCGGGTCAAACCCAGGAATTCTGTTCAACCAGTCGGATGTCCCAGAAATCAAACGCCTCCGCTTGGCCTTCCTCGACAGAGACGGCGTCTTATACAACGACGTCGAAGGAGTCGGAGCAGATGCCCAAGGAAAGTCAAGGAGAACAAAGACGGGGAAAAAGCGAGAAGTCTGCAATAACTGGAACGAGGGATGATGTCCCCATAACCCATGTCCCCGACAGCACGTCTGCAACATTTGCAACGGACCCCACGTTGCCACCGCCTGCAAGACGAAGAGTAGCTGAGCCTTCAGCTAGTTACCCGTTTGTCTCCAGGATTTGGCGGGCGGCGTGCGAGTTTGTTGAAGGCGATGAATGTGACGAAGGTGGAGATATGCAAGGAGGGAGTCAAGATGGAGGTGTCGTTGTTGGAAGTTTCCTACCTCGCTATCTGCGAGGATTTGGCTGGAAGAAAATCACACCGCGAGGAAGCAGGACCGCGTGGTTCACGGAAATCGACGAGCCACTACCGGGGCCTCCTGAAAAGGAGTATCAGCCTCTAGTGCTTAGGACGATCCATAATAATCCTCACCTTTTCCGTGTATCTACTTCAATCAATATTGACCGTCTCGCTTGCTTGTTGACGATTCATCCAAACCGACCATTCGTCGTGTCAGTAATCCGAGCGCTGCGAATCGGCTTCTGGCCGTGGGCGGACACAAATCCCAGCGGCGATTTCCCTGAAACATGGGATAACGCCTGGGCTAACATCCCATCTGTAGATGAACGCGACTTCATCAAGAATCAGTGTGACGAGGAAGTGCAGAAGGGACAGCACTCACCAGCCTTCGGCCCAGATCTGCTTCCCGGAATGTACTCGACTCCGAACATTGCGGTGCCAAAACCGCACTCTGATGATTTACGTTTAGTCGCGAATCAATCCGCAGGTCAATTCTGTCAGAACAACATGATTAACAAAACGGAGACAAAGGGTGCTCGCCTAGACTCGCTCCTAGTCTTCATCCCACTCCTCTTGTTTTTCAGCCAGCTTCATCCGGGTAAACGGTTGCTCCTCTGGAAATCCGATGTTGCTGGTGCGTTCCGAAATATTCCTATGCACCCGCTATGGCAAATAAAGCAGGTGGTCACGGCGAATATACAGTCGTTAAGTGGTGGTGGAAGTAGAGACAAGAGATCCATGTGGCTGCGTTACGTGGATTGGCGTGCCTGTTTCGGCAGTTGCAGTTCGCCACGGGTGTGGGCGTCCTTTATGGGCCTCGTGGTGTGGATCGCCGTTTGCATCATGAACATGACCTTCCTCTGTTGCTACGTTGACGATTGCTTTAGTGTCGGACTCGTCGATGACATGAGCTGGTACGAGCCGTACCAACAGCTCTACCCGACGGATCAGACGCGTCTTCTGCGCTTGTGGGACTGGCTTGGGATT